TAATGGAAGGTTTCACTTTTAAATGAGGTTATTGTTAAATTGCAATTGATTGATAGAATTTTGGTGTATTATTCTACCAAATTTTTATTTGGATAAATTAATTTATATAGTTTAAATGTATTGTGTTATAGGATATAATTGTTTGATTATATGAGAGGTTTTTCTTTTAGGGAAGACTCTGCCAAATTTTTTTAATCTAAGTCTTTGTTTCTTGAATTGCTATGACTATATTAGTGATATAGATCGTAAGTGAATGCCCGCTAATCGACTATCTAGAGAATATTAGGATAATGTATATGAGTTTATTTAGTTTGCATTTTGTTATAATCAAGACCTGCGGAGTGATATGTTCTTGTTTAAAATGTTGTTATAGAAGAAGAATAAGACCAATAGAATTGAAAGATCATTTGATATGTAATGGAATTGATCTAACTTATACTTGTTAGACCATGCATGGGAAGACAAGGAAAATGAATAATGTATAATGTTAGCCACACTATTTGGGACCAAACCAAATACTTTTCAATGAATAATGAACAAACAATATAATTTTCAGGATTAAAATGAATAATTTACAACAATTATGAAAATTAAAGAGAAAGTAATTCAATATACTAAAATTAATAGACTTAGAATAAATATATATAATTTATAGATAATACAGAAATCAAGTTTAACTTTCCAAGCCACATTCTCTATCTTGAATAATTGAGTTATATAATTTTCCTTGTAAAATCATATACAGCCAAACAACAATATAATTTGTTTAATAGAATAAATTGAAAAACAATAGCTTTCAAAAATTCATGTTTTAGATTGGAAATTTAAAGTTAATGTTTTTAAATTTAAAATATGATGTTATATTATTATTTTTTTGTAAAAAAAGGGAAAATTGATAATTTCATGAAGATTGAAATAAAATAAAATTCTTCTCACCAACGTTCGAACCAAGGACCTTGGGGATAACTTGTTAGCTTAATTTCCACTAGATCAACATTTTCTCTTAGTATAACTTTTCAAAACAATCAATACAATACATTTAAATTATCTCACCATAAATTTACATTTCACTTAAATTTTTTCCCTGGGTTATTACATATACACTATACCAGAATAAATGGTGTTTGTACCACGATAAGAGAGGTCTATACCCAAATAAAGGATGTACTGGAATATTGGACATTAAGGGTATAAAGAGAAACTTTAGGGAATAAATGCCACTATATTGGTATGAGTGAAGATTCAAGGGAACAAAGGCAACTATACTAGTATAAAGAGACTTAGTACCTGTATAGTTGAAACTATAAGGGAACAAGTGCCACTGTATGGGTATAGGCGAAGAAACCGGTAGAAACAACATCGTACCGGTATAGAGGAATAGTGAAAAGAATCAGAGAAGCTTTAGTGTCCAAAATAAATGAAAGAGATTAAATCAATTGAAATACTTCTCATAGAATTCTTAAACTAAATAGCTAAAGAAGCGATCCTGAGAAAAACCAAATGCTTAAACTTGGAAAGCATCTCATAGAATAATGGCTTAGAATATTAGGAGATTCATGGTTATATCGGTACAGGCAAAATAATATAAATATAAGGACACAAAAGAAAATAGAAATTAGAGTTTAAAGCATATGAGTTCAATTACCCTTAACTATCATTAAATACTCTTAAATTTTCCTGTCAAATTTTTTTTTTGTAATTATCAAAACTAGGGTTCAATAATGATATACAAAATATTTGTAAATACTCTATAAATTCTGAATATAAATATTTTTGAACACAAACTTCAAACTTTTTATTCTCATTGACTGTGAAGCTCACTAAACAAGGATTAAATGTTTTCAACAACTTTTAAAATTAATTTGCATCTTAATATCTTTTAAACATATGTTAAAACATTTGATAATCCAAAAAATATGAATTTGTCTTTAAATCTGTTTCTACTTTGAATTATAAACACATTTGGAAGTAAAAAGCATTTGATCTCTAACATATTTATTTCAACCATCTCTTATTTTGTCCCTACATTAATCAAAAATTGATTCAAAGTTAGCCTCTAAATTAAAAAAAAAATAAACAGTATTGCAGACAGATTTGGGAATGACTAGCTTAGAGATAAAATTTATTCATATCTAAACTTGCCTCTAATATTTTTATTTTTTTAAAATTAAATTTTTAATAAATAATGACAGAATTCTAAACGAATTTGGCAACAATATTTTTCAGAAATGTATATAAGATGTATCTAAATATTTCTCTATGTCTTAAAATATTTGTTAAATCTGTGTCTAAGTTTTAAAGTATTTGTTAAAAAGAAAAATTTATATAAAATATTTATTAAATGAAAAATACATGAATAGTTATGTGGTTACTTCTCTGATAGCCAAAAAATAGTAAACAAAAGAAGGCCTGCAAACACAAGCGAAGGTAAGAAGCATGCATATTAATAGAGGGTCGTTGACTACAATAAACTCTTGTATGAAGGGCAGCAATTATCCTAGTCACAGAGGAAATTAGAGTTGTTACCATGAAACCCCAGCTGATTATACTAGATCATGATCAGATAAATGAATTTCAGCAACAAAAATAGATGAAATGAACAAAGTTTCGATTCCATACTCTTAGTGATCCCTGCAATGAAGATAAAATAAATGAACTAATCAGAAAAAATACCCTCGGATTGTCCCCACAAAAATCATAACGAAGTCCCTTGGTCTCCCCCTGTAAGCAGATCAGTGATGATGCTTAAATTCTTGGTTAATGGCTTTATCTCCAAGACGGCATAGACTATCCTATAGGTAAAGAATCAGACGAAGAACGGATAGAAGACAAAGAATAAAGTAGAAAAAGATGAAGAATGAAAGGAGAGAAAGAAAAATCAAAGGATAAAAAAAATGGAGATGTCATGCCCTAAAATTTAGGTATGATCGGCACGAGATGTGTAAAGGAACTCACATCTCTTAAGTTTTAACTCACCTGACTTTTAAACATAAACACATTCATAATACAGGGTAGAACTTTTACATATATAATTTTCATGCTAATAAAAGTCATAAATTTTTTGTAGGAGTTTAGGCTGAACCTCCCCAACCAAAAAAAAAAAAAAAAGATCTCCCAAAATACAATAAAAACAGGGAGATCTGCTAATATCAACAGATTGATAAATAATAATTAGTCAACAAGAGGACCCTAGTTATTGTATATGTAGAGCATCTAAAATAAAATGTATAAAATACAATATACATAAATTCAAGTTTTATGTCAAGATAGAAACTAACCAAAATGATGTCTCACTCAACTTCAATTCAGTAGGAAGCCTCTTCAATGATCTGTTGGAGTTATAAGATTAGCTACACTACTTGAGACCAAAGATATTTTCAGTGAATAACATCTCAATAATAAAGTTAAAAGGATTAAGATGGGTAACTTCAAGTATTTAAATCCAAGTTAAAAGAAAAAAAAATATAATATAGTTACTAAACTTGGGGAGAATGAGCGATTCTATATAACTTCATAAAATAAAAAACAGCTTTATCACTTAGTCATGAGAAATCAAATAACTTAAGTATATAAATAAAAATAGTAATATTTGCTAATTAAAATTGATGAAGTGTATATTCACAAATCAATTAAAATTAGATAATATTGAGGACTTTGCAGAATAGGTAATGAAAATATTTTAATATTCACTTTTCTCATGTACAAAGCAACATTGAAATTAATCATTAATGTTTACCATCATGGCTGAGCATTGGCCTCAACATTAACCTAAAAGAAAATCTACCATTCTTTCTTTTTTAAACATGTCTCAAGTTTATTTTAGTAACTTAAGCTTTCCTCCACAATGGATATATATATAAGCCATATTTATATTGTCACACCCCGATACTAAACGTTAATCGGCATAAAATATGAGATGAACTTACATTTCATAAGCCTTGATTAACCAGAGGTTAAGCTAAATATCAATATATAAGTTATATATATAATAATAAAGTTTGTAATGCTTGAGTGCTTTGTAGAAATTTCAACAAAGTCACCCCCGTAACTTTGACATCTCAAAATTTCTACAATAATAAAACATATCAACCAATTTAGTAAGGGAGATTAACTCCACACCAGCAAATTAAATGCCATCAAATTAAAACTAAGATATAACTATAGACGTGGAGCACTAAATTATAGTTGTATAACACAATATATAGTTTCAACAAAAAAGATAACTACACTGTGCTTCCTCTTTCAAAATATATATCTATATATACACACACACATATAGAACCCCTCAATGATCTATAGGAGTTGTAAGGTCAGCTAAGATATTTGAGGCCAAAGAAATTTCTGGTGAGTAACATCTCAATCAAAATTATAATTAAAAAATTTATGAAGATAGAACTAATAAATTTGGTTTAAAATAATTTAATGAAACAATGAAATATATACTTGAATTAACAATAAAGAACAAGTTTGTCTAATAATATAACCATAAAATTAAATTTAATAGAATGATATAAATTTATTGAAATTTGTATTACTAGAAAAATATTAAATTTTAAATAATGGTACAATTAAATAGAATGGCTTTGTTAACAGTGTTTTCGTGAGAGGAGCCACTTTTTTCTCCATGCCTTTATTCACTTATTATCTAAGATATATTGGTTCTCACATCTATAAAATATATCTCATCACTTATCAAAACTTTTGAAAGCGAAGCTAAAGCACATATAAACCTCAATTCCTTTATATTGAAAGCAGCGAGGCTAATAATAGTAATAATAGGGAAAACAAGCACACAGAGGATAGAAAGAAAATTAAAAAGCTGCCCAAAGGTAAAGTGTGAAGTGATGGGATCGTTGTCTACAAGATACGATCAATCTTCATCTTAATGATGGAGCAGCTTTAATTATTTGATTATGGACCACGCGGTTTCAAAAGCAAAATAAGAGAATAAATGGCCTCGATTATGAGCTTTATTTCTCGCTCAAACAGTAACGGACGTTGTTACCCTCTCAAACATTGATGTATAAAAAGCTATACTTGTTTTCTCTATATAAGCATCCAGCACTATATATATATATATATATCCATGGCTGCTGAAAACTCTAAAATCTCTGGTCTTACTGATATTCTTCCCAATAACCACCAAGAAACTGAGGAAGACAAATCCCAAGAATCATCGGATAGTTTTCAACGCCAACTCTTCCAATACCAAGGTTTCTGGTTTCTCAAGAAGCTAAAGCAAGGAGTTCTCAGATGCCAAAACCAGTTCCAAGCTCGTGACACTGATGTACTCCTCGTAACCTCACCAAAATCAGGCACTACATGGCTTAAAGCTCTCATCTTTGCTATCATGAACCGCAAGACACATGATCCAAGCCCAACCCAAAGTGATCAACCTCATCCTCTCCTCACCACTAACCCTCATGTTCTCGTTCCCTTCTTGGAAGTCCTCCTACAACATGAAAACATGTCGGATCTGAGCTCAACATTTCCGTCATCGTCACCAAGGATATTCGCGTCTCATATCCCATATGTTTTATTGTCGGAGTCCATGAAAAAATCAAGGTGTAAGATAGTGTATTTGTGTAGAAACCCTAAGGACCTGTTTGTCTCGTATTGGCATTTCATGAGTAAACTAAGTCAAGAAACCCAAGGGTCCAATTCAGTGAAGGATTCCTTTGAGGAGTTTTGTCGAGGACTAAGCATTTATGGACCATTTTGGGACCACATGTTGGGGTACTATAAGGAGAGCTTAGAGAGGCCATGGAAGATATTGTTCTTGAGATTTGAGGAGCTGAAGAACGAGCCAGTTAGGACTTTGAAGGAGATAGCCAACTTTATAGGTTATGGGTTTTCTCAGGAGGAAGAAAATGGTGATGTTGTGGATAATATATTGAAGCTTTGTAGTTTTGAGAATTTGAGCAGTCTACAAGTGAATAGAACTGAACGTTCATTATTGCTTGGGGTGGAATATAATCTTTTTTTCCGACATGGGCGAGTAGGTGATTGGAAGAATTTTCTCACTATTGACATGGTCGAACGATTTAATGCTATCACTCAGGAGAAGCTGGAAAAGCATGGCTTGAAGTTTAGTTAAATTCATTTAAGTTTGTAGAAGCATCTCATCTTCTAGAGACGATATGAAGCATGGTAAAAAATTTAATTTTATTTTTACATTTGATAACAATTGCTAAAAATTAATGAGTCAGATTAATGGTTAATTAAATCTGTTTAATCAAGGTATTATTTGTATCCTTTTATCTTGATTCCTGAGTCTCATTTGACGTTACTAACTTCTTCTAAAGTAGGGTTATTTTATAAACATGGGACTCGTATGAAATAAACCTATCTTCTTGGAGAATTCATCTTTAATTAGTCATCAAATTAAACTGCGAATATGATGGTGATGTGGATGGTCTCTTGGATAAGATCTTATTCGCTATAAAGCGCTTTGTGAGAGATGATGATATCCTTGGTTGGGTGGGTTATCCCCTATAAGAAAACCTGCCAGAAAATTCCATGAATCTGAAAAGGGGCCATTAGTTGGGGTGATTCTGTGATGGTGTTGAAGATCAAGAATTCACCTATGGTTTTTTTATTCTGTTTTCCTTGTTCATGTTTTTGCAGGTCATGGAATCCATGGGTCAAGATTTGTGTTGTCTAATTAAACTAGAATGTTATGTACGGTTCGTATTTTCTCATCATGTGTGGAAGTGGCTGCTTCACTTGAAGGCAACCAAGCAATCTTCTAAAAGTGTTCGTGTGGTTTGCTCTCTGTGTAGCCTTTCTCTAGTCAATCCTTGGAAGCACATCTCGCTTGTGATGGCTATATAATGCTCTACGAAGCATTCTTTGATAATTTGTTTATTTCAACTTCTTCCTCTACTGATGCGTCTATCCTACAGTCATGGCGTTTATTTCAAGATCTATGTTATTTGCATACGTACCTCTTTTCAATTTTATTTGCAAGTTATGGTTGCTGTTTTTCCTTACCCACATGAAACTAGTTATCTAGTTAATTTGGCCTTCTAATATGTACTCTTTTTATTCTTAATGATATTTGATCTTTATATTAAAAGAAAAGCTTTAACTTAAAGTTGAAGAGGGCGTATGTATGGCTGGAAAATTATAAATGGAGTCATGTACAACGTATTGTACAAACTAATGAAGAACATTCTGTAATTTCTGCTCGATAATTTTTTTTCTCTTTTGTTTTTATTATTTTTAATTTTTTCATGACTTCTGGCCAAAAGTAGTAACAACGACGACGACGTGATTTACAGCTATTATTTTTATTTTTCCTTGATATAATTTTCATGATAATAACATAACTTACACCAATGTTACTGTTGTTCACTTAAATCATTCATTCTCAAAACCCTCGACGCTACTTTTAGATCTATCAGTGCCATCAAAATCTCCATCTTGTTCCTCCTTCTGCTTCTTCCCCTTCCTCAGGCATTTCCGTGAACATCGAAGATCTTTCACCTTCGCCTTCTTCTGCATTATATATATTACCCGAGAATATCAATGTCAGTTAATTAATAATTAATAAAGGATATATATGTATCTGCGGCGATCTGGGAAGTAATATTATTTATTAATAATCAAGGGGTATTATTTTAATTAATCTGTGTTGGGACTTGCCTTTTGCCTTTTGGTTAACCTTCTTCATGAGCCGAAGTACTGTTGGATTCACCGACTTTCTTTGGTTTCTCTTAAAGTAGGCTGCTAGGATGTGACAGGGCTTCTTTTTATTAGCCTTGAGGAAATTCATGAAAGTTCTGATCCCATCCTCCATTATCATAAGAAATGATCGATGTTGACGATATTATTGACTGATAATCATCCTTCCTCTCATCATCCTCTGAATCTTCAAAAGTTACGCTGGTAATTAATTTACTCAATTCTACGATTCATTCATATATCTTTTGTTTGGATCACAAGATATAAAGAAATAAATAATAATTGTGATAAAGTTATTAAAAAGTAGACCAATTATTGAACTGACTGGGGCGCAATAATTTAAAGGCTTTGTGATCCAACTGTTATTAAAACAGAATTAATCTAGTCATGTTTAAAAATAAAAATTTAATTAAAATATACAAATATAATCATATGTTTAATTTTTTTAAAATATATTAAACTTTTAAATAAAAAGCATTAATTTATATCTAAATAGAACATTCATATATAAACTGTACATGATCCAACAAAACAACGTTGATAAAGTACAAATCTGACGGACGGTTTTTCAGGTATTAGCGTTCTGATATAGATGCTCCGTGAATTTTTTTTTCTTTTTTCTTTTCCTTTTTTAGTAGTGAAGATGATAGAAATGTTGGAAGGGAGATCCGCTCCACTAATTGGGACCATCTTCTTTATACCACAGAGCTCAAAGTGGTTTACAGCTATAGTCCTTTGTCATGTTGGCATCGTTAAAAACGGCACATACTATGCTATCTTTAATTCGAAGACCCCACTCTTGTCTAAGCATTTCAATTCTTTGCTTTTTCTCCAACCACCATATATTCTACATTTATATTTCCTCCATTTTTAAATATAATCAAAACTTCGATATGATTTTTTTTAATGAGCGAAACAACAATTTTACAAAAGCATTTGTGACTTGTTTTTTCAATTGCTTAATCATAAGGGTATTTTAGTCTAAATATTTTAATTTTGGACATAATTATTATTGATTAGCAACTTCGTTAAATTGCATGAATTGTTTAAAATTTATTTGTATTTGAAAACAGGAAGAGTATTAATTAATTAGCATGCATAATAATTACCTACAGCCATCTTGTCTTCTCTTAAAAAGGATAGTGATGGACAACAATTTCAATACCATGGCTTTTGGCATCCCAAGAGGGCTATGTATGAATTAGGGCTGCATAAAAGATTGGACAGCACTGAACTTCAACTTAACCCAAAGTTCAGTCTCTTCTATGAAAAGAATTGGGTTAAACAACTCATAATCCGATCTTATCCAATGATAACCCAAAGTTTAATAAAATCGAACTTGATCCATAGGATTAGGAGACTAATTTTGTTAGTCCAATATTCGCTTAGCTTTTTTTTTCTTTTTCCTCTATGAGTGAGGCAATAATCCATTTCAACCTAATAAACACAAATAAGATAATAAAAACACTTATAATCATAATAAATCTTTAATAATTTCCAACAAGAAGAAAAAATATTTCAGTTACAGTCCAAATAATTTAAATTTATAACTTTAACAAAAAGAGCACTCAACAAACTTCAACAACAATTTAGAAACAAACTTAACAAATCTTCATACAATCATCTCCTCAACATCAATTACACTTGAAGCATTTGTCAAAAATAAATTAATTTAATTATATTAAATAAATTAATAGGATCAGAATGGATCAAGTGATCTAGATGCCCAGTTGCTTGTCCAGTCTAACCCAAAGAAATAATCTAATCTTTTCAGTCTTTTTGATTTTGAAGGACCATTATTTATATGGACCGGATTGAACTGGACCATCTTAGTTCAAACTAGGTTAGACAAGAGTGAAAGACTTTTACACAACCCTAGTATAGATTCCTCCAATGTCAGAACCACTATGAAGCCCTTGACTTGGAAGCGAATCCCCAACACTGCTGTTTTTTTTTTTTTAATCAAACAAAACATACCCACTCTAGCTAGTTTGAACCCCAATTATATGGAACTGTTACTATCAACTACAACTTCATGGGTATTTTAAAAATATTTTTGTTATATTTATTTAATATGATTGCATATCTTAAAACTCAAATTTGATATTACATGATAAGTTAATTTAACTTTTTCAACTTGTTAAATCATATGCCTCTCAATAAAATAAACAAATAATTTTAAATTGTTAAAATTTAAGTTACACGATTGCCATAAAATAAATAAATAAAAATTTCATTTACAAAGAAAATTAATAATGGTATATAATTAGGAACTGTGAAGATCAAATTTTAACGTTTTAAATTTATTTATTTTTATATGATAAATATTTTATAAAATAGTTAAATTAAATTTATTAGAAAAAAATAATTAAATCTGAACTATTCATTTTATTATCTAAGAGTGTAGATGATATGAGGAGAAGAAAAGGAGAGAGGAGATTATGAGAGGATCCGAACTGCCTCGACTTTGATATCCTTCTAGTTACCTTCCCCAAATCTGGCACTACCTGACTTAAAGCTCTTGTTTTTCCCATTATCAAGCAAAAGATTTATTATAAATCCAAATCTGACCCAAACTAGTCATCCTATGCAAAGTGAGGAAGGGAAAAGGTGAAGAGAGAAGGAGATAAAGAGAACCCAAAAAAAAAAAAAACGTAAATAGAAAATAGAAACTTATTCTAAAAGGTGTACAAAAAATAAACGTATTAAGGTGCTATTTATAGCATTGACCTAAATCTAGAATTAATTATATATAGGAATATTCTACAAATTTTTAAATTAATTAATATAAATATAACAATTATTGCTTAAAAATATGAATAATTATTAAGACAATTAAAATAAAATATTCCTAATTATTCAGAACTTAGTGGAATGCCGCATTTAGGGAGCTCATGTCCTATCCTCATGCACTCATCCTACTACCCGAGATAAGCGGTGCACTTGCCCATGCGTCTCCACACGATGAGGCACACCCTCAACTAATTGACGACTTATCAGCGACCTTCATAGGCAAGAATTCAAAATTGAAGAAGCGTCGCTACTCTCTTTTATAAATAGGTAGCAAGAGCATAACCTGAGGTCTCTTGACACTCTACACAATCAACCAATTCAATTTAACCTTGCCCTGTGTAAAGATTCAACATTCTGACCCAATGTCACTTCAGCTCGCACAGCTAACTCACTCCGTCCATATATCAGCTTGGGCTCCTTTGGCTATTTTTCCCTTGCTTTTTTTTTTTCTCTGTCTGAAGGAGCACCAGTTGTACTTACACTCACATAATGTAGTTGACTTTCTTGTGTCACTCGGTGTACTCCTATTTCTCATATCTGTTTAAAACTCCAAGGAAATTGTGGTAAAAGGACCTTAGGAATCCACAAAATTTGAGGATCTACTCCTCTTTTGCAATGTTCATCTCAACATTACCCATAATCACTACACAATCACATCATAATGGTAATTGGGATCTACAAATCACTCCTAAACTTACTGTAAATGTAGAAGGGTTAAATCAATTAAACATTTGAAAAAAAATTGAAAATCATTTAGGATCACCAAAACTTTCAATTAGATAGTTTGAGCTCAAACTAAGTGATATTTAAAAGTATGGGAAGCATGGAAAGCAAAGCAACCAAAACCCAAGTAAACAAGGTTAAAATATCATTTTTATACATTCTAGCACAAATGTCATAGCATGTGGTCCATGCGTTGTGGCATGTGGCATATAGAGAGGGTGATTTGGCGTACTTGTACCTTTTAGGAAAAACTTCAAATGTGGGCTATTTTTGCATCTAATGCCCCATTGGAGTAATTCGAGAGTTCACACAAAGCTTATTCGATAGTCTAGCTAATGGTATAAGTTTCATTATGATCCGACATTATATATGAAATTTAAATACTCGAATGCAAAAGTTAAATTTTATAATCAATATAGGGTATCGATATGTTCAAACCTCAAAAGTTATGCCCACCAACTCAATATAGAGCTTAAACCATGTCTAATAGATTAATTTACTTCTGATTGAGCATTTAAATATACAATAAAACATCAAACATACAATTTGGCCACTTTATCCCTAATCTCATCCTATAGGGCTAATAGCACAACTTCATAAACAAACACTACTCGACCTCACCATTACTATATAATTCACTAATCTTTCATTATTACCACATATATATAACCTCGCTTGTACTTATACCAGTATTTTAGCCTTTCACCATAAAATCACCCTATATTCATTACGTATACAATATCTGGGCTAAAATACAATATAGTATGATGTAATACAAGTACAATTAACAAAATGACATGCAATCCTAGTTGGCAAACTCATGAAAATCACATAATTAACTTTATATACACAACCCAAAATAAAATCGGGCATTACAATAGCAAATTAGCTAATATGTTAATCCATGTTTGATTCTTTCCCTTAACATCAAATGCATAACTTGTAAAATAATAACAACTATGGGGGTGATATAAAAATCT